ATATTTACGCGAACACTACACATTGAATAAAACTACTTGTACGGATTCTATCGTCTTTAATTTTTTTTTTATTAATTCCCGACGTTTCGGATGCTTTACAGCAACCAGTCCCCCGTGACCATGGGTAGTAAAGCACCCGAAACTTCGGGAATTAATAAAAAAAAAATAAACGCGATAGAATCCGTAAAAGAAGTTTTATTCAAAAGAATACTTTTTTAAGAGAGATTGGTTGTCACTTTACGATTTTGACCACTGGAAACTCCTATCAAGATTTGATAAGGCATATCTTTGTAAATGTCGATGACATTGAGAAGGATCTTTTTCTTTAGCGCATGACATAAATACGAGTAATGATTTAGAGAGTAGATCGACATAGTAGAACTTTAAATAAACAAACGTGTAGACTCTGCGCATGCGGCCACGCAACGGAGCTCCCTGCCTCCCTGTCTCTTATTATACTACACGATCCACAGCGCGGCAGGGAAGCAGGCCGGTCGGAACCACTCGGTCGCCCTGTTTAGGGACCCTGACTCCCTGTTTCTTATTACACTACCCTGTCCCTGCGGGCAGGGCCCGAGAAATCGTGTAATGTAATAAGCCTTTTATGCATATTGCAATTGATCAATTGATCTGTGAGATAGAGCTGGCTTCCTGACTGGCGGGAGGAAGCGCGAATTTTTAAATTAAAATTACAAGTCTAATTTTAACTTCAACTTCTGAAGAAAAATTCTTTAATTTTTATACGAATTAAAATATAGAATAAAGAGAAATGCCGTCCGATAGTGACGGCATGGATAAAAATATGGATATCCACGCGGGCAGGAAAAGAAAACCGCCAAACGCAATCAAGACCTGCAGCAGGTAAATGATGGTTTTTATAAACCATACTATAAATTAAATTATATAAGAGTTTTCCCTGAGTCAATGGGAATGGCTGAATACACGGTTTTTATTGAGAGTCGTAAAGAAGGAATTAAACTTGGCAATACGAATCCCTTAATGTTGACAGGAATTTTCGAAAACGAAATAAAAGGAGTTACTAATATAAGAAGAATAAACGCTTCTAAAGTAGGGGTGGTGTTTGCGCAGGCAATTAACGCAAACGACTTTTTGAAAAATGAAAGTTTCTTAGAGAAGTATGATTACAAGGCATTTATACCAGCAAGGGCGGTGGAAACAATCGGGGTACTCGGTATGTTCCCATTAGCATAAGTAATGAAGAACTGTTTAAAAAACTATCATCGAAATATGAGGTCGTTGCAGTGCGTCGTTTCACAAAAAAAGTTAATGGACAGATCAAACCGTTCAGCTCTGTTAGTGTAACTTTTTTGTCAACCAACATACCTGAATTTGTACATCTGGATTTATTCCAATATAGGGTGCATCAGTATATTGCCCCGCTTTTACAATGTTTTAAATGCTTTAAATTTAATCACGGAGCCAAAATTTGTAAATCAGTGCAACGGTGTTCAATTTGTGCAGGTGAACATCGGTACACTGAATGTAAGGAAAATGCGGTAATTAAATGCATAAATTGTAGTGGCCCTCATGTCGCAATTTCTAGAGATTGTCCAATAAAAAAACAAAAAATTGATGAAAAATATAATAGGTCTACTTATGCAAAAGTCTTACAAACAAAACAAACTCAAAATTTCTTTAACAATTATAACGAAAATTTCCCTTCAATGCCTACAAAAAAAAAACAATGGATTCAAAAACAGATCAATCACAAGTTAAATCTAATGACTCTCCTAAAGTACACAAATCAAAGACGGAAACTACCCAAACTAATACCACAACTAATAATAATGACACACTTATTGACCAAATTATAACAAATGACAATATTTTGAAATCAATTATTGGAGCATTGGTGGCCATGGGTAACTCAGGTCGTAAACTGACTACATCAAGTATAAAAGAAATGCTTATTACTAATCTTAAAAACAATGAATAAACAATTTATTCTAATTTCACAATTTAATATACAATCTGTTAATAATAAAAAACCTTTGCTTATTAATTATCTAGTTGAGAATGATATAGATATTTGCCTGTTAAATGAAACATGGCTGCGAGAGTATAGAACTATCAACATTCCTAACTATAATTTCATTAATCAGAATGGAAAAAATGGACGTGGAGGAGTAGCAATATTAATTAAAAATAGTTTTAAATATTTTGTTGTTCCCACACTGTTCTATAATTATATGCAGTCGGTAGCTATAACCTTTACTACAAGTCTAGGTAATATATCCATTTTATGTGTCTATGAGCCACCCAGTGGAGGTCGCTTTAAGGTCAGAAGATTAAAACAAATTATTAACAGTCTACCTGCGCCACTTTTGCTTTCAGGTGACTTAAATGCTCATGATATTGCTTTTGGATGTCTCACAACAAAAACTAGAGGCACTAATATCTATAACATGTTAGACGAATGTAATCTTTGCATATTAAATAATGGACCTCCAACTACAGTAGAAAGCATTAATTTTAATCAATCTTCTATCGATATTTCATGTATTAGTCCTTCTTTAGTTCATTTATGTGATTGGCATGTATATGATGATCCTATGGGTAGTTATCACTATCCAATCATATTCGACTTATATACTTGTGTTGAAAAATATGATATAGGAGAACCTTGCGAATGTTTCAATTATAAAAAAGCAGACTGGTCAAAGTTCCAGACTGAAGCAAAAAAAAAGTTTTAAAACTTCACAATTGATACATCAAATTTAGTTGATACGTATGAAAACTTCTGCAACACACTTCTAGAAATAAGGAAAGACTGTATACCTATAATTTCCAAACCTAATGTGTTTGTTATGAGAAAACCAGTTCCTTGGTGGGACGCGGACTGTTTAGCTGTAAAGAAAAGTAAAAATGCTTTAAGATTTTACAAATTAAATCCTACAATAGAAAATTATATAGAATATAAAAAGATTGATGCCTTCAAAAAGAGATTAATTAGTGAAAAAAAGAAAACAAGTTGGAGACGAATTTGTGATTCATTTAATAGATATACTCCAATAACTTATATCTGGAATTATATTAGGAGATTTAAGAGGGTGTAAAAATGCCTACAGGGGTCTCAATGTGTTAAAATCATTAGCAGGTGTGCATTGGGGAGCTGACCCAAAGTTGTTATCAATGCTTTATAAAAGTATAGTTCGATGTCATTTTGATTACAGCACATTAGCATACTTAAATGCAAACAGATTGATTTTAAAGAGATTAGATATAATTCAGAATAAAGCGTTGCGTATAATAACTGGGGCTATGTGCTCTGCACCAATCCATGTAATGGAAGTAGAAAGTTGTATTCCTCCACTTTTACTAAGAAGGCTACAAATTGCTGAACAGTTTTGTGTTAAATAAATCAGTTCAAAAAATGATTTAGTTTTTAAAAAAAATACTTCCTTATGAAGTTCCTGAGTTTAATGATAGCTCATACATTGATGTAAATATACTTTTATCTGGTCGATTACTAGACATTCGAAGGATTGTTTTATACTCACAGACCCAAACCAAAAATGTGTATCAAAGTAAACCATGGCTTTTATATAAAATAGAATATGATGCTTTACTGAACATTAATGTTTCTGTATGTCAAGAAAAAGTGAATTCTCAAATGGAAATGTTAAGATATCCAGCTGATAATGATTTTTATACAATATATACAGATGGATCAAAATCTGAAGAGTACACAACTTCAGCATTTTATGATTCACAAAAGAAAATATCTAAAACTTTTAAAATTCACAATTTATGCTCTATTTTTACAGCTGAATGTTATGCAATATACTTAACTTTATTGTACATAAAAAACATTGCAAATTCACAGTTTCTAATTGTAACTGATTCAAAAAGTGTTATAACAGCTATTGAATGTAACAAAATGGATTACAAAAAAAATTACATTATATATAATATAAGAAACTTACTAAACAATCTTAGTAAAATAAAGAAGACTGTTACCTTTATGTGGGTCCCTTCACACTGGGATAACTGGGAACGAGGAAGCAGACGTTGCTACTAGAGACATATTCTCATCAACATGTTCAGACTTATGTGCATTGTTAAGCAAGAACTTGAGATCCTTATGGAAGGCATACTGGGAAGAAATAAGCAAGTCCAAAGGAATTTCGTATTATGAAATACAAAAATGCCCGCCAGCCACTCCTTGGTACAACAAAAAAGGGATTAATAATAGAAAATTCATTATTGTAAACCGAATGAGATTTGGACATAGCAGAGTAGCCACCCACCTGCATCGTTTGGGAATGAAAGAAAATGCAAATTGTGTATATTGTGGAGACACGAAAGGAGACCTAAAATATCTGGTTTTTCAATGCAGTCAATTTGATTTGAATAGATTACTCCTCATTAATTCCATTCAAGATATTAACAATGATAAGGTTCCTGATACTCTTCAAAGTTTATTAGCTGATGAAAAATTCTTCCGACCATTATATTCCTTTATATCTGGTGTCCAAGATATATAAAAATGAGAACAACGTGATATTAATCAATAGTGCAAACGTAAACAAACTGAATCAATGTCAAAGTGAATTTTTGATGAATGTATCGTAAAGTTAATACATTGTAACTTCAGGCTCAGAAGGGCTAGAACCCAGAGCCTTAAAGCCAGTTTAAAAAAACATTTTGCAATTGCATAAAGAGTTCGGTTACATGAGTTTTTGTTTGTTCTGTTTTTAAGTGTTTTTAACTCTTTTTATGCTAGCTCTGCCTCTGAGTATCAAGTCAAGTGTATTTTTAATAGTAAATCTGTCTGTATAATCAGAAACTAATAAGAAGTGCTATTATAGAGTAATACATATAATACTCTAGGATCTTGTCTATTAAATCAAGTCGCAGTTATGTAATGTACTCATAGACTTAGAATATACTGGCGTATAATGTACTAATATTCTATTACCTATTTGCCTGTAAATACAAATATTTGGAATTGATATTTACAATTTTTTAGCGTTTCGATGAATGAAATGCTATTAGCTACTGTAAGATTTTTAAATAATGACACTAAGCTTGTTATGACATCTCGACAGTTGTATAAATATTTATTACGTCAATGTGAAAGATTGCCGTCTGACGCATGTAAACATTATAAATTTTCTATAAAACAGGTAAGTTGTATGAAAACTAATTGTGCAAATTTGTACGAAACCAAGTAATTAAAGTATAAGAGTTTGGTCCTGTATTGGGACTGCAGAATTTTCTCCAGACATAGAAATAATATGAAAAATGTATTGAAAACACATTACTTGGTTATCAACAAGTTATATTTTTTAAATGCTAAAGAGAACGGTGAAAAATATAAAAAAAAAGAATTATTTACGCATTTTTTATTCAGATTTTTTAAACATGCGAAAAGTCATTTCAGAATATTTATTTAAGTTCAGAGGGCCGTATACCTTAAATTTTGTTTTATACAACCTTATTATTCTCTTTTAATAAAGTTATTATGCTAAATTAATTGATATTTGATACTATACTTAGAACTGCCGAGAAGTAGCGTACTCAAGCAATGCATTAAAACTATGCTCCACCCTGGGCTATTAGCGACTACTATTATAGATAAACAAGTCTTTTCAATGTGTTGGTTGAATTTAGTTATTATCACTACCACAATACCATAACACTAATAAGAAGAAATTAGACTAGATTGTTTTATTTTAAACTAGCTGTGCCCCGCGGTTTCACCCGCGTCATCACGTGTCTGAGGTGCGCGACCTGACCTAGTTCAAGCATTTTATAATTGCAATTAAATATTTTATTTGATAGCAATGGATGAAAAAATTGGCATAATTAATGGAGTACTTTTATCTGTCGGCATATTATGTATGATGTAGAGCGAAGTTAAGTTTTATCTACTTTCCCTCCCCCTCCCGGTAGAGCAGTTCTCCCAGTTCTCACCGGGCGGCTAGGATTAATGTGTTGTTTGCGCACCCAGCCAAGTATTGAATTATTTTAATTTTACATTATCTCTTAAACTATGCATCCAAATAACATGGCATAAAGAACAAAGTTTATCTTTATAAAATTGTCTTGATGATGAAGTAACTTTCGTTCGTAAGGATAAATAGGCCATGCCTAATAATAAAGCTCATAAATCACTTTTAAATTTTCAATATTTTTTTGTCACAAAATACCTAATTATGGCGTATGTATAAGAAATAGACATATGGTATCACAGACTTTTTTGACGGAGTAAAGATCTATATTTTTCTAGAACATTGTATTTACATATCCCGAACAACAACACCAGCGTACGCGGATAAATCATTTCGGGAGTGCTTCTTCTTCTGACTTGCTTAACAAATATCTATATTTAAGGCTAGCTGAGTGATATAGCTTAATGCTAGATAGCCTATACTATTTCATATGAATCTGGCTACAATATACAAAAAGAATTTTTCAAATCGGACTGGTAGTTCTAGAGATTAGCACGTTTAAATGAACAAAAAAAGCAAAAAAACTCTTCCGTTTTATTATATTAGTATAGATGTATGATTTTTATCTTCAAATAATGTTTTAAGGATGTTGAAGATAATTATGATCAGGTAACATTTTATTTTTAATATCTCATTTTTACAGAGTTATAAGCAGCACATATCTGAAAGTGATCCTGAACGAATAAAGGAAATAATAGCAAAAAGCATTGACAATGCCAAATGGATTGTGAAGAAGGTATTTTATTATAATATAATGTATTGTAGGGCCCATGGTGTGTGGTAGAGTTGCAACTGATAGTTGGTACTGCTTCCACAATGCTTAAGGTTCTGCACACTTTTCAGCTATGCTTCCTCTGCTGGTTTGCAAATTCATTACATGAGCAGAAACAGAAACTTTTTAATTAAATATTGATTATAAATAATACTTATTAAGTCATTCTTGTTTAATTTACCACTGGTTTGGGAAAAAAAACCTCTGTCTCGGGAAGAACCAGCAAGAAACACAGTGGAACTTTTAAAAAAAAACAGCTTACAATCATATATGTAATCATATACAACACAATTAGCAACACAAAACAATTTAGAAACAGCTTGGTAGTGATCACCTCATTCCCAGGGGTTATTATCATATATAAATTCCTTAATATTATAATAACCCTTTTTAGACAAACTTTGTATAATAAAGTTTTTGAATTTTGAGGTCAAATTTTGTAAGTTTTCTGTTCTTTTATTGTAAAAGTGTATATATCGCCCCAAGAATGAATTACTGACTCGGTGGAGTTGAATAACTGGTACTACTAGCTTGTATCTGTTCCAAAGTAACTGGTACTACCAGCTTGTGCCTGCTCACCATTTTATCCATTCAAAGCCATACCACATGCCATACCATCCACTGTAATTCGAAAATAAATTAAAAGTAAATTTATATATCTAGCCAATACGAGGCTGCCACTTGAGAACCTTACTTCTCAATTGGTTGTCAGTTCTTCAAGCTGGCCCCAGACTGTTCAGATCTATCCTCCATTCACTTGTCTATGTTAGTTACACAGTTTCAAAAATTGAAAGCATAGCCCGTTTAGTTGCATGCTGAGCGACCATGAGATTCCTCATATAGCCAGCAGTGAAGGACCACATTTCGGTTCTATAAGTCATCTTTGGCTACATGCACTGATTGTACACTTTCATCTTAAGATTCTGAGGAATGTTGGACTAGAAGATTTTATGCAATTTCCCCAAAAGCAGGCCAGCTGAGTTGGATTTGTGGGATAAACTGTTTGGTTGAAGTTGTTCTTATGTCCTAATTTAATGTATGTGCATAAAGACAAAAATAGTTTTATTAAAAATAGTGATGTACATTTTGTAATTACTAGGAACAAACACAAGTTAGTTATATCAGTTACTCTACTCCAAAGTCATATATGTATGCTTTTACAAGAAAGTCCCAGAATATAAACAATATATTCCTTAGCCTTATTAATATAAAATACTAAGTTTACAATTATGTACTTCTATACAATTTATTATGAGACTACTGAAATCTAAACTAGGCAAAGCCTGTATCTTAGATTTCAGGTGTTTTTCTCAAACATATTACAAAGGTTCACTGACAGATCAGTCAGGTAATAATTGAAGTAAAAGTAAAAAAAGTTTCAATAAGAATTACTTGTAATTTTTATTGAATAACAATTATTCAATTTTGTTCTGTTATATTGTATTATATGGTATTGACAATTATTAACACCTGAAATGGACCTACTGTTAGTATTAATACATGTACATAATTGTTTTGTTTATTTTCAGTATAATCAAAAATAATGGAGGTTCTGAGTTTAAGAAATACAATTCGAAAATGTAAGAAAATATATATTCATGATAAACAAATTTTATAATAAAGAAAATGTTTGGTGAAAAAATTGAAGAATATGAATTATTGGAACATTTAGGTAAAGGTGGTTTTGCACATGTGTATCGAGCAAGATGTCGCAAAACAGGTTTGTTTGTTGCTATCAAAATGATAGACAAGGCTCTCATGGCGAGTGCTGGTATGATAGGTCGTGTAAGACAAGAGGTCACAATTCACTCTCGCTTAAAACACCCTGCAATCCTTGAATTATATACATTTTTTGAAGATGCACATTATGTTTACCTAATTTTAGAATTAGCACACAATGGAGAATTAGCTAAGCATTTTAAACTGGGAACTCGTGGTCTTTCCGAAAAGGCGGCTGCTGATATTTTTAGACAAGTTTTGAGTGGAGTTATGTATTTACATACTCATAATATTATCCACAGAGATCTTTCATTAAATAATTTACTGTTGACAAAAGATTTGAATGTGAAAATTGCTGATTTTGGTTTAGCTACACAACTAAATGGGCCTGATGAAAAACATGTCACAATGTGTGGTACACCTAATTATATATCCCCAGAGGTGGCCTCGAGAGAATTCCACGGACTACCTGCCGATGTTTGGGGATTAGGATGTATGCTATACACTTTGTTGGTGGGAAGTCCTCCCTTTCATACTCAACATGTCAAAACTACACTTAATAAAGTTATAAACGCTGATTACAAGATCCCTTCTGAATTATCTATACATGCCCAAGATTTGTTGCAAAAACTATTATGTAAAGATCCCACCAAAAGAATCACACTGAAGGGTATAATGGAACATCCGTTTTTAAACAATGTTTTGAATGGCACAACCAAACAGGACCTGTCAAGGGACTCTGGCTTTCTGACAACAATGCATAGCACACAGCACAGTGCGAAAACAAGAGCTGAGGATACTGCATCTGAACATAGAGGCATACATGGAGAAAATATTGGTGGTTATGTAACAAGAGAACAGATAGAGATGAATCAGTTCAAGATATTTTCTGAGAAACAAAATGATCAATCATTACTATCTGCTGTTAGTAATAAGTGCAATAACAGGCATTGTTCTAGTGGAGGTGGTTCAATTGAATTGCATGATATTAGAGAAAATACTAGAAATAAGCAATATTCTATACCAAAGTTGAATAGTGCTTGTAACAGTACTTCAAGCCTTGCTGATAATATAAAACATTTAAATCTTAAATGTCATATACAAGGTACGTCACAACATTTTGATGATGATGGCAATAAGGAAAATATTTCAAAACCATGTGTGATTAATGGCAACACTTTAAATATTCCACCTTTATGCTCTGAAAGATTACCAACAATTTCACATAGAACTCGAAATGCTATTTTAAAAATTGAACCCTCCGGTGTAAGTGTAGAATTTATTAAGAAAAAAGGTAAGAACAGAGAAGAAAAAGTTGTAGAAATTTGTAAAATATCTAAAGATGGTATGAAAATTATAATTTATTCTGTTGACAAAGATAAAGCTAATCCAAACACAGAACATAATCCTACACCTGATGAAGTGTTTTCATATCATAATTTGCCACAGAAACATTGGAAAAAATACTTATATGCATCACGTTTTGTAGACCTTGTAAAAGCTAAAACACCAAAAATCACTTTATATTCTCCGATGGCCAAATGTCAATTAATGGAGAATGGTACTGACATTGATTTATTTTTTTATTCTGGTGAAAAAGTTACATTTACTTCTACTGAAGGCATGAAAGTCATTGATAAGAATTTAAAAACTCACCACAATCTATCTGCAGTACCAGAGCTAAAACATCTTACAGATCATTTTGAAGAGTGCTCTAACCGCATAAAACGTATACAGTCAGCCCTCTCGTGTATTCCAGATGAATGCTTTCCACTAATCATTGGTAAAAGGCCTGTTCAAAATTTAAACATGGCTACATGTGTATCGGAATCTGCAAGTAAATCTTATAACACTCCAGCTTTTAACATTGGTTCTTTCCACCGAACAACAGCCAGTTCTAGTCAAACAAAAAGTATAGATTTTTCATAAACAGGCATCAATATTCTTACCCATATCTATATCAACCTTATTTTAGACATAGTAGAAACTTGAAAATTCAATTAAACCCTTAATTATAAATTTGAAAAAAATTATACTGTTAAAAAGTAATATTGGAATTGAATTGTTTGAAGCAGTAAATATTATATTTTAGTTCGATCTAACTAATTTAAGTATGTGTAAATATTCCCACCTAACACAACGTAAATGATTTTTATTACATAATACAATCTTAATAAGATAATGTTTATTAGCTTTAAAATATTTTATTCTATTAAAGTATTATATTAATTTTGCACATTATTTTTGAATGTCACAATTAAAATAATTTTTGACAATGGTATTTAAGGTATTGTATTAAATATTTCCTATTATATTTACTTTGAACAAAATAATATGAACCTAGTTTACACAAAGTTTTTTTCCTTTGATACTACCCTAACTGAAGCTAGGAATGATCACAACTCTCGAGAGATTTCGTGTCACTCTTGGCTATCATATCCCTGAACCGTGGTAGCTAAGGGGTTGAGCGTTTGCCCTATATTTCTCAGTACGAATTTCACAGTTTCGAGCCAGGACTCGATCCCTGGAAGCCGGAATCAATGAAATCATTATTTTAATTTTTTTGTTCCGATTTATTTTGCTCGTTGGTGAAGGAATACATTGTGAAACCTGCATGTCCGAGTAATATAAAAAAATATTAATTCAAAGATATCTATACATATAATAAAACTGTAAATAGCAGATGTCTGTACATTTTATATTTTTGTAATAAAAGTGATTGAGGGGTACTAAAAATAAGTAATTAAATACATTTCTACCATTTTTAGAATTTTTGTCTGTCTGTCTGTCTGTCTGTTTGTTTGTTAACGTATCACGTATAAAGTACTAATTTATATCATAAGAATTGTTAAGGAAATTATAAAGTGTATCTTCGGGTTACATTTAGTCTTTATTTCATTAAAATCAGTTCATTCCATCAAAAGTTATGATAAATATTCTGAAGTATGGGTAGGGAAGTATAGGTACGAATTTGCTCAACGGTGGCTTTGTTTGAGTCATCAGGTGCATTTTAAACTAATATCATATCATAAATCATAGTTAAATTATGTAAAATAATGATATAATTATGTATATCTAAAACGCAGTAAACAAAAGTATTAAAAAACGTATTAAATATATTATACAAAAATATATTAACCTTATTAACTAAATCTGAAGCACAATAGTTTTCCCATTTCTTCGATAGATGGTGGTGTTGTGAAAATGTAATGCAATTGCAATGTTTTTTTTTCCTGTAGATGAGTTTTCATATTTACTGCTAATCTTTATTATATTACTCGCTGCCCTACTGTGTGTTGATAAACTCAATTTATTCTTTACCGCCGAGTACTCTATGTGGTAAATCAAATTTTAAAAGAGCTATTAACAAATCGTTGGTTTTGGCGAGAGTCAAACTTTATTTTTTGCTTACTGTGCAGGCACTGATTTATAAGTACTCTTGCGTTTTATATAATGTATCAATCGCGTCAATTAATCTCTTTTATTTTTAGAATTGATGTTGGCAGCGCCATCTCTCTTTAAATATATACATATAATAAAAATGATGATAACATATTGTGTCTCTTTCTGTACATTGTATAGGTATATATTTTGGTGGCTGAAATCATTATGGGGAACTGAAAATAATTAAATAAGAACATTTTATAATTTTTAGAATTGTCTGTATGTCTATTTGTCTGTTATTATATGAACGCATCACGTCTAAAGTAAACATCTTTTATTTTCAAAGAAATCGTTAAGAAAATCATAAAGCGTATCTTCGAGTTACATTTAATCTTTGTATTATTAAAATTGGTTAATTCTATCGAAAGTAATGATTATTATTTTGAAATGTAGGTTCGAATTTGTTCAATGGCGCCATAAAATCTCAGAAATAGTAATAAAAAGATTTGTGTGTAAAAAAAAACGTTCCATAATAATTAATATATTTATACTTAAAACACAAAAAGAGATTTAAAAATGATGTTTTCTCACACAAAGGACGTAATAGATGGAGTTGTACAAATTACAAACTTTTCTGAATTGCTGTGTTGAGATTTTTCGCCGATGAATCGTATTGAGACTTACTGAAGAAATTTGTATCCATCGAAGCCATACAACGGAATCCGACCAAAAATAAAAATTTTGCAACGAAATGTCGTGATATTGTATTTATAATATACGCAAAATCAGTACTGCCACTTTAGCGCTTTGGGAACTAGATTTAGCGCTTTTTTGGAATGTATATCGCGCATTTCGAAATTTTAGCCCTAGCTTAATCCAGCGCTTTTTGGTGTATTTAGCACACATTTCAATATTTTAGCGACTAGCGGGTTATTAACTCTTTTATAGCAGCACTGTTAGTCCACATTACCGATAATAATAATAATGACCTTTATTATTTTTTCCCACAAATAGTACATTGCAGTTTATCTTTTTCAAACATATTTTTTCCACAAAACAAAGAGCATGGGAGACGAGTCCAAACTAGGATACCCTGTGCTATGGATCTCCTGGCTTCCCCTTTAGGATGATCAACTTGATTTTTTTACCGACGACTATAAGCGGGGAAACCCCTTTATTAAAGTTTTTGTTCATGGTTTTGGCAACGCATTTATTTTGCTTTATTCAGTTTCAGTCAGTTGCTTAGAGCACAGCTAAGTTAAAAGTTACTTAGAAGTTATAACACAAAGAAACTGTGTAGCAACCGCAATCAGATGCTGACATCTGAAACTAAGTTGCGAAATACATTGCACTTTAAAACAATTAATGACATTTTTATTGTTCGTACAGTACTAACTACTGTTGACAGCAATTGCCATAATTATAAGTCGATGTCCTGCGAAGTATTGATACATCAAAAAAATATTGCCAGAAAAAAACTTAATGTTGTTTTCTTTATTATGATTATATAAAAAAACACAAACTTTGTTTGTAGTTAATTTAGCGCGAAATCTAGGACTTTTTTAAAGCGCTGTTTTCATGAAATCTAGCGCTTTTTGTGTTGTCCTAGAGCTGAATTAGTTTTTTTTTATCTGGCAGCACTGCCCAAAAACCCTCTATTAAGAAGTAACTTTCCTTTCAGATTTAAGCGCGTTCAGTTCCCAGTTACAGTGAGCGTGTGTTATGCGATGACCGTAAATAAAGCGCAAGGTCAAACTTTACGCGTTGTAGGAGTGTACCTCAGTACTGACTGTTTTGCACGTGGCCAACTCTATGTTGCTTTTTCCCGCGTTAGTAGCCCCCGCAACCTTTTAGTGTACACCCCGGCTAAGCCTACTTCTCACGTCGTTTACACAGAAGCTCTATCATAAACGACTTAGAACTTTGATGATAATGATTTATTTTGTTACCACTTATTGATACAGTAATGAAATAAATCGTTTAATATTCTCTTACCTAAACGACACATTGTTTATGTAAAACCTGTATACGCGAGCTACTCCGCGGGCACAGCTAGTAATATATAAAGCCCGCCATCATACATTCGAGACGAGCGACTAATACCTTTTGGAAACGAGAAGAGGCCTGTGCTCAACATTGGAACGTTTAAAGGCACTTAACTTTTACTAAGCAGATCATTAACTTCTTTACTAAGCAGAGATAGCAAATAATTCGAATATTTATTAGCAATAATATTTGATACAAAGGCCAGCACCTGATTTAGAGTTCTGACTACCCTAGGCTAACTATGAATATGCACCTTCCTGACCTGTTTTGCCTGTGCCTGTGGCGGCCACGAATGTACTTACTAGATTTTTATATTTTACTAGCTTTACTCCCTGCGGTTTCACCCGCATTAAATCAATTTTTCCCGTGAGAATTAGGTATTTTCCCGCTGTAAAAGTTCTTTCCCCAGGATGCAGTCAATCTATTTCATCACCTTAATAAACCTGTTCAGGAGGCGTAAAAAGAACAGACAGTAAGTCCTTTTCTTTCGCAATTATTGTATTAGTAATAATATAGATATAGTTTTTTTAAACATGCAATGTTTATTACCATAATAAAAAAACTAAAACTAAAATCTTAAATTATCTACAGTCTCCACGGTAATTAATAAAAAGGAGTAAGCTCGTTTCTTGAAGGTCTCTTAGTCATATCAGCCCGGAATAATTACCGGACTATTTCACAAAGAAGATTTGCGAGCAAGAAACCTCAAAGTGAATCGCACAGAGGTGGACCGCCAAACATCCGATAATGTGAATAGTACCGTGAGTTTTGTCCCGATGTGCGTTGGTGGAATCTGGCAGCTGGAATTAATCCGAACAATTCCTCTGAGCACTCTCCCCGTGGTAATAGAAAATGCAAAGGGATGCAAAATTACTTCGCAGCGCCAGCGAATCCGATCAGAAAGAACTCAGTAGTGGACGATTTGAGCTGCTCTTCGCTGGATGCGGTCAAGTGGAAGGACATGACACTTGGGTGCCCCGGCCCAGAGATGAAATAGTATTTAGTCTCCTTACTCCGTGTAAATTTGCAAGCGGTGTGCCGGCATATCATCGCCCCACTCTGCTGAGCACGCCAAGCGTTTTAGAGGCCAGATTGGCATTCCCTTCCAAGTGACCGGGGACTGTACCTCATTCGATATGTTGACTGAGGCAGCAAGGGGAGTGCCATGACATTGACGAGATAAGACAAATTGACGGGTTCTTTTTAGCGGTCAACGCGTAAAATTTGAGGTCTGAAGGTTAAACTGGACTAGATTTAATTGTCTCCAATCCGAGACTGTTTAATTAAAGACTCTACTTCAGACGACACAAGTTTGTTCCAGTACTCGACAACGTCTTCCCGAGAAATATTGGCACGGACGGTGTAAAAAGCATCATCAGTGCTGTCGTCGCATAGCAATGAATGTGTTTTGCAACATATCATTGATATGCAGAAGAAATAGCCCAAGGCTATGTTATCATTATCGACGATATTATACGACCTTAATGCCTTAATTAAAG